CATTATTTCTCAATCATGCTCCTATTCCTATGAAATCCGGCAGCAGGATAATCGCTCACTGTTGGGGACTATCTCATGAGGAAAAGGTGCTCCTTGCTTCAAGTAGAATCACACCTATGACATGATAAAATTTCCTTCTTAACGACCTGGGTGACAGGAGGCATCACATTACCACCACGTGACCAACAGCGTAGTCCTTAGCAACCCTCTGCCAGCCTGGTGTTACCAAAACACTGGGGACGCCCCGCCTCCCCGCCTCCGCCTCCGGCCACAGCCTTCATTACCTTCTTACAAACCCCGAGATGAAACCAGCCCGAGTGGCTACGGACAGGGGTGGGGCAGCGTGGCTGGGGCCAGCAGCCACTGTCGCACACACCTATCTGCTCCTCTCTGTGGGCTCCCCACGGAGACAGGTGCGTGACTGCCCACCAGCCGGCAGGGAGCTAACAACGTGCTCCCTTCCTAGGAGTCCCCTCCCCCCCCCATACCCCGCCTGCTGCTGGCTGTGCTGGGGCAGGTCCAGACCACAGTACTTGAGACGGCAGCTGTGGGAGCCAGACTAATTTGGCACCTAGAGGTTAGGGATTCTGCTAAAACCCTGCCATGCAGAGGCCAGCACCCAACAGACCACAAAGAATTACCCTGCCCCGCCTTGGCCGGTGTGGCTCAGTGGATAGAGCATCCGCCTGCAGACCGAAGGGTCCCCGGTTCGATTCCGGTCAAGGGCATGTACCTCGGTTGCAGGCTCCTCCCTGGCCTGGGCCCTGGTCAGGGGCGCATGCAGGAGGCAACCAGTGGATGTGTCTCTCACATCCACAGTTCTCTCTCCCCCTCCCACTCTCTCTAAAAATCAATGGGAAAATATCCTCGGGTGAGGATTAAAAAATAAAAGAATTACCCGGCCCCAAATGTTAACGGTGCCAAGGTGGAGAAAGGGCAAGGTGCAAGAAACCCTAACACGTGAATCTGAGAGAAAGACTGTGCCCGTCTCCATGGTAATAACGACACCTATAATTCTTATTTAAAACAAGTACAAACTTTATTTCTACCAACGGGGCAAGGGGAGGAAGACCCACCCTCCTGTGCCCTGGGAGAGGCGGGCGGTGGGAGGGAGGGAGGGAGGGGGGCAGAGGTGTGATCAGAGCAGTGATTCTGCGGCGGGTGCTGCCAGCTGACGAAGGAGGGTCTGGGGTTGGGCAGCCCTGCCAGCCCGGTGGGGGGGGGGGGGACCTGGGGTGCCCCTGACTCATGCGGGGAAGCGCTGGGCTCCCGGTGGTGTGAGTCCCAGGAGGTGGTGGCACCCGGCCTTGACTAACCGGACATAGTGGCGACCTCGGGCTTCAGGTTCTCGGGGGGCGGAGGCTGGGACGGTGTGGCCGGGGCTGGGGGTGCCCTCGCATCGGGGTGGG